ACAGATAAGACTGCATAGGATTGCAACCTTTATTTATTTAATACAGTGGTGCCTCGCTTGATGACAATAATCCAGTCCGTTCAAATCGCTGTTAAGCGAAATCGTCATCAAGCGAAATGAAAAAGCCCATTGAAATGCATTGAAAACTGTTCAATGCGTTCCAATGGGCTAAATACCTGCTCGTCCAGCGAAGATCCTCCATAGGGCGGCCATTTTCCGGGGCCTGTCTTGTGACTAGTCCATCCTAAAAACAGTGGGGAGCCATTTTGCACAGCGGGCGGCCATTTTGACAGCCGCTGATCAGCTGTTTGAAAAACATTGTAATGTGAAGAATCGGTTTCCAAAGCAGGGAACCGATCGTCGTGAAGCGAAATTTCCCCATAGGAAAACCATCATAAAGCGGATTCATCATTTAACGAGGTAATCGTTAAGTGAGGCACCAATGTAATATGATAAAGGAACTATAGAGCCGCAGGAAGAACACTTCAAATAAGCGCTCAGGTTTTAAATTAACATGTATCCAACAAAGAAGATGTAATGTTTGTTTTTTAGTTCTGTTTTTTTACCAAATCTCCTGAAACAGCATAGAGGAAACTGGATGGATGGATGGATGGATGGATGGATGGATGGATGGATGGATGGATGGATGGATGGATGGATGGATGGATGGATGGATGGATGGATAGGTTTATATATATAAACTGGTCTTCAGCAACTGAATCTCTGGGATGTTGGAATTTTTCACTGTTTGCAATAAAGGGGCAGTATATAAATTCTGTAAATAAATAGAGCATGGAGCTTAACTCCATGCCTCAAGCTATTTGGTCCCCACGCAGCTCTCTCAAATTTACAAACTATCCTTATTATGCTTATGTCCAACTTGGGTCCATCAAACATTGCATTTGCTGCCTGCAGTAACCATGCTTTTAAGGAGAACGACAGCATATAAACAAATAAATAAGCCATCCTTGCCTATCACAACACTAATCTTTGGCAAATATCTTCAGCAAATCTCCCACCTCCATAGTTTGTTGGCGATGTGGAACAGGGATTCCTTGATCCTGCCCACAATGTGGGTACCGTGCTAGAATGCTTTACACAGATCTTTATTCACATTTCCACCAGGAAGATAACAGTGAGGCAACAGAAAGGCAGGCTGACACCATGGCCAGAGTGCTAGGCAAGATTGGGCAGGAGAGCAAGGGGAAGTGACACTCTATGAAACTCAATGGGTGATGTTGGGCCAAGCACATTCTGTCAGCCTAGCCTCCTTCACAAAGGTGTTGTGAGGAAATCAGCAATCTCTGTGGCCTTGAACTCGTTGGGAGGGGAAAGGGGGATAGAAATATAGGACACTAATGACAACTGAAACCATGCGAACCAAGGAAGCAGGCTGGACAACAACTGAAGAAATCGAAGTTCAGATGCCCATTCAGCCATGGCTGCATAGCTCGTTGGGTTGGAGTACCTAGTTATGGAGCCCGAGTCAGATGTTGAAATTCCCCACCGGCCTTGGAGGAGAAGAGCCAGAGTGTGTGGCTTTGGGCAAGCAACGTGGTCCCAAGTAGCCTCAAAAGAAGGGGAATGGTAAATCACAGCTGAGTGTTTAGCGGCTCAAATCCTGTTGCTCATGATAGTTACTCACAGTAGAGTAGGGCTACTTGAATCAATAGAACCCACAGAGGGTCTACACTAGTATGACTTCCTATTCAAAGGTAAACAATGCTAAACTATACCTTGAAGCCCTTGACAAGAGTTGCCATAAATTGGAATCAACACAATGGAATACAGTACAACTATGAGGATGAAGATGATGGATAGCTTATGCCTTTAAGCCCTTGACAAGAGTTTGCATAAATTGGAATCAACCCAATGGAATACAACTATGAGGATGAAGATGATGGATAGCTACCATTTACCTCCCAGGACTGTTGTGAGATGAATAGGGGTGGTTACGACCCTGCCGTGAGGTCCTTCTTTGGGGAAAAGACAGGATGCAAACACCGTAAGATGCAGACACATACTAAGAAAAAAATATCTAACTGCCACCAATGAGGCTTACTCCCTTGTAAATGTATGAAACAGTGAGTAACACAGCATCGCTATAGCTCTGGAGCATGTCTAAAGAGCTTTGTCCATGTGACCAAACTTAATCAGACCCATACACACGCAGTTTGCTGCACCAAATGCTTACTTCTGAATAATAAGAGTAGAATTGAACACTGTGTCTCAAACCGGGCAGCACCGTCCTAACCAGTGAGGGCTTCTGCCATTTGGACTCTGTAGAAGAGGAATTAGGAAAAGACTCAGAACTTGGAAATGCTTTTTTTAAAATGGACTACTATTCCCAGAAACCGCAGGAAAGCCTTGGAGATGGGGGTGGGTGGGATCCTGGGCATTGTAGGGCAGACAGTGGTCTTTCAAATCTCTAGGGGGGAAAAACCCTCAGAACAGGAGGCTAGGGATGCTGGATCAGACAATAAGGCTAGGAAAGGTTGACAGCAAGAGAAGAGGAAGACCGATCATGGTGAGATGATTGACTCCATAAAGGAAGCAGCGCTGCAGAGGACATTTCATGTTGTGGGCCACTCATTCATAGGGTGCCCTTGAGTTGGAGGTTAGGTGCCAGGTTGAAAACAAGCCAAACCACAACTAGGTTCCCTTCCCCACTTCACAGCCTCCCCATACGGGCAGCTCTGAAACAAAACTAGGTTCCCTTGGCCACTTTACAGCCTCCACATACGTGCAGCTCTGTAAAGCCGAAGCCCCGGGGGGGGGGG